CAGACTCCCCGGACATCCCCCCCCCCGCCCTGACATCCCCCCCATGGGTCTAGGACCCCCCGGGTGTGACCCCCGCACCCCGAAGAGCGGCGCCAACCCCAGCTCCTTCCCGGCCTCCAGCACGTGGATCTTCAGCGACCGCTTGTTCAGGATGTTCAGCTCCGGGACTGGCGGGGAGAAGTGGGGTGAGGGACTCAGGCGTCCGGGGAGCAGGGACCCCCCACCCAGGGCTCCCAGGGGTACGGGAAGCAGGGACCCCCCGCCCACGGGACCCAGGCAACCGGAAAGGAGGGACCCCCCACCCACGGGACCCCCAGCTCGAGCCAGCCGTAGTACGAGCCTGGGGACAGGGGGCACGGGGTCAGGGGACACTTTTATTCCTCCCTCGCACCCCCAGGGCTGCTGGTGCCCCTCACTCCCGACCTGCAGCCCCAGGGCCTCTTGTAAGGGCGGGGATTCTGCCCCTCTCCACCCACAAACCCGGGTGGGCGCTCATCGCAGCCCCCTCCCCTCCTCTCTCCACCCCCGCAAGGCCCAGACATGCTCAGCCCCCCCCACCGCGTGTGACCCACGGAGCTACCAATAAAGGAACTAACCCCGAGACACGCATGTCTGCGGGCCAGGAGTGAGGGGCACCGCCAAGGGGGCAAAGGAGTTAATGGTGGGGCACCCTGGCAACCCCCATCCCGTCGTGACTGCAACCGGCCTTGGACTCTGCCCCCGCCCCCCAGCGCCTTCCTGGAAACCAGGACATTGACCGGGCAACCACCCCCCAAAATTTCCATTGCAACCTAAACCCATACAACAACCAGCCCGCTCTCAACCAGCGGAGGGGGGGGGGAGGGGTCCATAGCAACTAGAACCCTCCATCGCCCACCTCTAAGTCCCCATGGCAACCTCCCCTAGCAACCAGCTCTCCTTCCCATAGTAACCAAGAGAGGATTACAGTGCCCATGGTCTGGGAGGTCAGTGCCCCCGGTTGCCATAGGGATGGGGGTCACTGGCCCCAGGGGTGAGTGGGCCAAGGGGCATGAACCTGCCACAGGCCCCCCGGGCCCGCCCTGTCCGTCCCCGCCTCTCGGCTATACCTGCCCCCTCCCAGCACAGGGGGGCATCTCCCAGCCATGCTGCCTCTGCTGCTGCTCCTGCTTGTGGGCCCTGGGGGGGCCAGGACCCCAACAGGGTCCTGGAGGTGGAGAACGGGGGACCCTGGGGGGACTGGGGGCACAAGGAGTTCTGCCCCCGGGGCACCTACGCCAGAGCCTTCACCCTCAAGGTAGGGGGGTGCTGCGGGTTGGGAGTGAGGGCCACCAGGGGGCTGGAGGGGTTGGGGGCAGAGGCTGCAGGTCGGGGGGGGCTCTGGCAGGTGCACTCCCACCAGGGCTGGGGCCTCTTCAGCCACGACACAGGACTCAACGGCATCCGGCTGATCTGCACCGATGGCAGCAGCATCCAGTCCAGCGAGGGCAAGTGAGTGCCCCCCAGCCCCGCACAGGGCTCCAGTTCGGGAGTGAGGGGCACCAGGAGGGCCTGCAGGTTGGGAGTGACGACCAGGCGGGGGACGGGGGCTACGGGTCGGGACTGCGGGGCACTGAGCCCTTCGTCCACACTTCTCCCCCCCCGCGCGCAGGTGGGGCTTGGGGCAGGCGCCCCCCAGTTTG